GTTGGAGGTGTTCGGGTCAATTCGAGTTTGTAGGGACATGGTGATCACCAGAGCAATGGGAAGACACCTTAGAAGCTACCCTCATGCCAGGTTCCCGGATCATGAGGACTTACTAAGACGTCCTCTACTCGACGATCACCTTTCGAAAGGCAAGGCAACAGTGAGGCGTACCCTAGGGGTGGTGTGTGTGATTCGTGTGTCGTTTTCATTGATAATTGTCTTGTCATGTTCATTGTGATCTACGCTTGATTTTAATTAGGGCCATTCATTCTTGCATGCTTATTGTTAACAGTTAAGAAATATTTGCGGGAAAGTAAATTCTAAACTATTACAAACGGCGCGGGTCCACATCGCCAAATTTAAACCGGACCCGATTTGACGGAAAGTAAATAAAGCGAAAGAAATAAAAGTGCGAGAAGTTTAAGTTACAACGCTTTGGGAGAGATACATAATTATAATAAACGACATAAAATAAATGCGCGAAAATAAATTACGAACATGGGCGTTGGACCCCTTTGCAAAAAATTAGAGTTAATAAGGAATTAAAATTAAAATTAAAAGACATGTTTTTGGTATTTTTATGCTCTTTAAGATTTAAAAGAAAAAAAGAATTGATTAAAAATTAAACTAAAAGGCAAACCCTAATTCTAATGGCTTTTAAATTTATTGTGAAAATATTAAGTTTTAACCTAAATTAAATCTAAGTTAATTTATGTACAATTTAATTGTGAAAATGAAATAAATAATATTATTATTATAAAAAAGAAAAATTGAAAGGAATGAAATTCATTAAACCTAAATTCTATGTTTTTTTGGATTTTTGGTTATTAAAAAAAAGAATTAAAGTTAAAACCTATTTTACTAAATTTATTTACATGCACTTTTATGAAAATAATTAAAAGAAATATTCTTCTCTTTTTCTGATTTTTTGTGTATTTTATAATTTGTAAAATATAATTAATTAGGATTAAAACAATTGAATAAAATAAAATAATAATTAACAATAAAATAAAAATAAGTAAAAAAAAAAGAGAAAGAAATTGCAAACCAAGGGGGTTTCAATCCCAATTGTGAGGTATAGTCCAAGCAAATTTGGCCCAAAATATCTTGAGTCCTTTTGACTTTTTGAATCATATGCTGAAGCGTGGACTAGGGTACAACATGCTCCTTAGATCTGTGCCTTTGGTTTGGTCATCAGGGACGCGTGGACGTTGGATGATGGAGATGCATGGTATGCCTTATCATAAGCGCTGCACATGAATGGTTAATGAAAAATAACATGAGAAATATACAGACCTGGGACTCGAACCCAGGTCTTGGATGTGAACGCTATCACCAACTGCCAGCTGAGCCACTGCACGTATTTGTTAATATACCAACGCATAAATAATAAAAGAAAAACCAACGCGTTAGTGGAGAGAAACGCGCGAAATTCAAACGCTCCAATCGCTTGTGGCCACGTCTTCGTCTCTTTCACATTCCCTGTAACACAAAGCTTTAGGCAACAGTTTTGCACGCGTCCCCTTAGGCTAGCTAACAGAAAATAGCGAATAGCCCTATAACATTCATAAATTTAGCGCGATAAGTGATTCTTCTTCGTCTCTACACGTTGAATCCAACCATGGTACTGAGGATGTCCAATTTTTCCTCTTTTAAGAAGCCCTAAATTTAAGCTCTGAAAAACCCTAGAAATCACGCATGGCAAAACCTCATATACAGCATGATAATCAAATTAAACATAAGGGTTAGCTTTAAAACATCACAAGGAACAAGAATCCATAATTAGAATGTCATGAGGATGCTTAGAATTGAAAATACGATTGTCACTTTTTTGCTGTACAGGGAGGGTTCTATGTACCAATTCCTGGAGTTTGAGTTGATGTTAGGGATTGGAATCGCTTCTGGGAACCTTGAGGAAGCTATTGGAAAAGGAATTACGCTTTGAATCCCCCCTAGCAATGATTTCAGTTTTGAGTTTTATGGCTATTTTTCCAAGTTTGCAAAGTGTTCTTGGGCGCAGCATTCAGTGTGTTGGCATTAGGTTTTGACTCAGCACTTATGAGGGAAGGGAATTAGGTCATTAGCTGGCCTTGATCCATGCCCATGAGAGAACTAGTCCTAGGTTTTTCACCATTAACCAACTTTCCCTTTTTTAAGCAAAACCAAGACTTGGTGTACAATCTAACCCTAGCATGAGTTTGTGAGCTGGCACATGATATATGGAAGCTATCCAAATTCAAATGACACTATTCCATTGATTTTTAAATTTTATTTGAATTTTTAAAGATTTAAAATGAATTAAATTATCAAAAATAAAATAAAATAGAAAAATCAATGTTTGATCTTGAAATTAATCATGGGACACGTGTGTGGCATGACAAGGCTGAATCAAGTGGAAGAAAGTGGGCCCTTTTGTCAAAAATTGAAGTTTCAAGGATAGTTGACTTTTGCCATTTCACAAAACTTTCCCAACTTCTACAAGGCATAACTTGCTCAATTTTTAAGCTTTTCTCATGTTCTTGGACATTTTAGAAAGGTCTTTGAGTCCTTTAACCAATGCCTTTGGTCCCATGTCATTTTGATTTTCCAATCTCAAGTTATGGCCTTTGACTTAAAGTCCCTTTTTGTTGACTTTTGAAAATGACCTATAATGTTGAAATTGATAACTTTTTGTGAGAGCATTTCTTGGACTTGAAGTATGAAGATGAGTTGTAGGAAATGTCTTTCTCTTCAAAATGAGCTTTGGATGGAATTTTTCTGATAATCCATGTGAAAGTTATGCCCTGGTCAATTTCAGTTGACTTTTTCAGCTGTCCAAATAAGGAAACTTTTGCATCTTGATGATTTTCTGAGCCAAATTTTGAGAATCATGATCAAGCATTGATCAAATGATGTTTGTGGCTTCAAAATGATATGTTGACCAAAAATTTGAACTTTTGATTGTCAAATGACCATTTTGCCCCTACAGTTGACTGTAGTGCAATTTAGGGTTTTGACTGTGCAATCTTGAGCTGAATGCCTTGAAACTTGATATGAGGATGCTTGACCATGTTTGTAAGCATATGAGACTTGATTGGGCCTTTGAACACTTCCTTTTCTTGATCAGACTCAAAACCCTAATTTTGACTGTTTAGGAGGCCCTTGCACTGTGCAACCCTTGGGGAATTTTGTGACTTGGCTTGGCAATTTCTTGAAGAATATGGGAGGGCAAATTTTGGGGTACAACAGATTGAATAACAGTAATTAAGTTTATTTGATAGTTTGGAAGACTAGCGGTTGTTCACCAGAAATCTCTGTGAACAGTGCCAACCGTACTTTCTAGAAGTACAATATAAGCCCTAGTGTTGTAAGACTGTCAAAAGTTTTTAGGGTTGTTATGGTTTTAGAGAAAACTCACACATGGATGGTGAGAAACTCTATATATCATGTTTTCATAGTAAATTGAATGTCCCCCCTCAACATTAGGGTTAAGGTGTTTATGGGAACCTCTTGGACATGAGTCTTAGATCCCAAGAAAATAGTAAATGACCTTTCCTCCTTCAGTGACAAGGGAAATAGGTAGTTATTTCTCTTGAATAAAAAAAAGAAAAACAAAAAAATAAGGGGATGTAAAACATAACCTATAAAAAAACTAGCAAAATTGATAGTTGGACATGTCAACCCTATCTCTCAAAAAACATTCAAAAGCACAAATATGAAGCGAATTTCACCAAGTGTCATAATCAACAAAAAAAAAACTTACATTGGCTAATCTATCTGTACATGCATTTTTCTTTTTAAAATGTGAGATATATTGAATCTAAAGAAGTGTATTGCGTATAAAGTATTATTGCATTTAATTAAAATATGCCAAGGGATAATATTCAAATTAGAAAATACACAAATGGTCAGCATTGAGTCAGTTTGTAGCCAACGATTTCTCAAAAATTTTCTGTTATCATATTCGATACAAAGCACAATTCTATGTAATTCAGCTTCAAAGAAGGTACAAACTTCAATCTTAGCTGAGAAAGTTCCCAATAGTGTTCTTAAATTATCTTTAAAAACGCCCCTACAAGTTAATATTCTAAGATTTTCTGTTGAAGCTCCATCAATGTTGTATTTAATTCAATTATGATTAGAAAAATACCAATTAATTTGTATGATTCTATATGGGGGAGAAGGATGACATTTAATTTTAAAGCATTAAATAATGGTAAACTCTTTAATTGAAGAGTACATGTTGCATTTGAAAGAAGTAGATGTTATATAAACTAACTATTTAACATGAAAAATGTCTATATCAAAGTCAATGTTACCATTTCGAAATCTGATACCATTTCTTGCGTGTTAAATTTCTTACAAAATAATTATCATAAGGTCATCGATTTGATATATATATATATATATATATATATATATATATATATATATATATATATATATATATATATATATATATATATATATATATATATATATATATATATATATATATATATATATATATATATATATATATATATATATATATATATATATATATATATATATATATAATTTAAGTTTTATTTCGTGGTATAATATTTTTTTATAACATATTTTTATTAAAAATTTAAAATAACTAAATGTATTTTTTATACGTAGTTGAATAAATGGTTTACAAGTGTCACCACAAACCTTACTAATCATTTGAAGCATGCAAAAGGATGCTCAAATAAAAAAACAAAAGTTAAATATATCTTTTTGTACCGAGAGATTTAGTGCAATTGTGCGGACAAGATATTAAATTTCTAAAATATTTAATTAAGGTTTTTCAAAAGAATAATCAAAAGAGAAGCATAAATAATTGATTATATGTCTTTATCTCACTCCTTTCATGAATAGAATATGAGAATATTTCAAAGTAACCCTTAAGTTATCAAAGTAGCAATAATTGAAAAATATATACAAATGTACACAAACATATAAGTGTGTGTACGCATTCAGCTAAAGAAAATAACACATTCAAATTTAAAATAATGGTGGAGTGGGAAAAATATTATATGGATATAATGTTTGTACCATGTGGATTTCTCATCCTTGTTTTATATCATTTCTGGTTATGGCATATGACTCGAACACAGCCATTCACCACAACTTTGGGAAGAGATGCAGATGGTCGAAGATTTTGGGTTCTTGCGATGATGAAGGTAACACAAATATATATAAGACTATAGCTTTAAATATATATATTTTTTCATATCATATATAAAAAAAAATTTACAGCTAGCAATTTCTTAATTATCAACAAATTAATACTTTATACTTTAGTTTTATTTAGTTAATAGATTTTCTTATATAAAATGCGGAAGGATAGAATTCAAATTTCATGTTGTAAAATGTTATTGTTTTTAATAGTAATTTTTAAAAATTAATAAAAATTTCATCAGAATCATAATGTTAACTATTTACTAAAATATGCAGGATATTGACAACAACCTCGTTGGAGTCCAAACTATTCGAAACCTAATAATGGGAACAACCCTTATGTCAACAACATCAATTTTGCTATGTGCTGGTCTAGGAGCAATTATAAGCAGCACATATAGTGTTAAAAAGCCAATGAAAGAATCAGTTTTTGGAGCACATGGTGAATTTGTTGTAGTACTAAAATATGCAATAGTACTAACCATATTATCATTCTCATTTGTGTGCAACACTCTATCTTCAGCATTTATCAATCAAGTTAATATGCTAATATCCATTCCACAAAATGTAAAGTCTATGGTGACCCCTGAGTATTTGTCCCAACATCTTTCAAAGGCTATGCTATTAAACATAGTTGGAAATAGGCTTTTTTATACAGCAATTACACTTCAACTTTGGATCTTTGGGCCTTTGTTACCTTTCCTCTCTTCAATGCTAATGGTTTGTATACTATACAATCTTGATTTTGTCGGTGGGACCCGCCCTAAGAACGAAGAGATGGATTTTATTCATAGTGATGCATGAGAGACACTACTAAAAATATACTCCTAACATTATATATTCGCTTAATATGAACCCGATGTAAAGATGAAATTTACTTCTTTTTTTTAAACATTGATATTGAAATTTTTAATTTGTATTTCTTAAATAAACCTAACTTGTGTAACTAATGGAAAACATGTTGGTATTTATATATATAAAAAATTAAATGAAAAATAATTATATATGTAAGCAGAAAAAAGTACGACAAATACGGTGCAACTTAGGACCATTACCCCCAATGAAACAAGAAGACGCGCTTGAACCACTATTAGTGCGGGAAAATGATAGGGTCCACTATCTAATTAGAAGAAAAAAACAATCACATGCCTCCTCGTCAACTGACGATCTTGTTATGATAAAATTATTCATGGTTTTCAATAAATTTCAAATCACTAAATTCTAAATCATGATAATACATCTTCTAATCCTAACCAAATCCGCTAAGGAGGAAAATATTTCAAACAGAGACAAGATATGACCTAGTAAGATAACTAGCTTTCCTAGCCATTGAAAAATCATATACCATAGGATTGCAGAAATCAAACAAATGATAAAAAAAAAGGAGACAAACTCTAAAGACAACACATAACCTATAAGAAAGACCATAAAGATCTAAAATAACCCGCCTGATACGCAAATTCTTATTGGTCGAGATCTTATTTTGAAGAAGTTGCCGAGAAAAGATTACCACTTTCGAGGGAGCCTAGCTACCCCAAAAGGAAGCTAACAAACATGATAAACTATGTGGTAAGGAAAAATAGAAGCATGAGACTCAAAAATATTGCAGTAGGAAGAGGCGCAATGTAGATACTATTCTCTTCCAGTGACCAGCACAAACGACCACTCTCTAGTGAGAGAGTAGCACTCTGAATGGTTATGATAAAGTCATCCACCAAATCTTACTCATAGTCAAAGAAAGGCCTCCTTCAGATTCGGGAAAAAGGAAAGTGACCTTGAGACAAATGTCAATTATAAATTGCTTGAATCCTATTCTTTTTATCTATGCTGCTCTTGGTCCTGTCTAAATAAATCTGCCTCAATTATCTCTCTCCAAGCTTGATGTTAATTTGAAGGTTCTACTTCTTGTTAGGTGGGTAATTGAGGAGATATAATGGTGAAATCTTCTGAATTCGGGACACCTGTTTGGTTTTCTTTTGGAAAAATATCTTCCTATTCGTAGAGGTCCTTCGAGTATCTGATGCCTCTCGTATACAACCAATTATTTTTATTGTTTACCCTTACCCTTCTTGGATTAGGTAGCTCAATTAATTTCTCTTTTGTTCCCACATTGTTCGTAGTAAGAAAAGTGTAGCAGACATCTGTATGAGTGATCATCCCCATAGATATTAGCTTTTCTATGTTGAGTCTTGTAGTGTCTTTTCTTTGAGCTTTATCCTATACATGAAACCTGTACCCCAATAATTCAGTGATATGGTAAATTAACCCCCTTATGGTTATATGTCCTAAAGGAGCTTTTGGAACTTTATCAAACAAGTTAACCAAAACACAAACAAAATTTATATTTTCATTTTCATCATGAGTCATGGCATGAATAAAGAATAATTCTATCTGAGTGACAACCCTAATATTGTCATCTTTAGCAAACATAGTGTAAACTAAGTATTTTTGCATGTATACATAAATGGGTTTAGAATGGTCGATGACTTGGCACTAAAGGAGGTATATATCTATCCAATTAAAGTATGGAGATTTATAACCTCCGTTAAATATATTAATTTAAAAAAATTATATCCTATAATTAACTATGAATTGCTAAATCATGCATTCAAAATATAATGAAACTGGTATACTAAAAATCATGGTGAAAAGTAGTAAGACGTCACTTTTAAGCACGGTTGGAATTCCAACAGCGGTGAAAAGTGGCATCTGGTTATGGGTTCTAATCCCAGCACTAACATTTTGATTTTTTACTTATTTTTAAGAAACTTTTCACCACAGTTGGAGTTCCAACCATGGTGAAAAGTGACGCCTTCTTATTTTTTTAAAGATATATAAAGCTCTTAGTTCATTCACTTTTTCCCTAGACGTACCTAGACAAACTTCAACTTCTGCCTCCAAACTTCTTCCATTTACGAAACATTATTCCTCCACTAGACCATACTTGAAAACATTATTTCTTCCATAAACGAAACTCAAAAATATTTCTTTCATTAATGAGTTTCTGAACTCCATCATCTCTTCTTCAAATTAAACGAGGCATGAAAAGCATGAATTCAACTTAGCTACGTTAGTTGATGTTGTTATGTCAGGTAAAATGTTCTTGTTTTACTATTCTATTTATTTATTTTGTTATTGTTGTTATTCTTGTTCTTGTTGTTCATGATGTTTTTCTTGTTGTTATTGTAGTTCTTGTTCTTGTTGATTTTGTTGTTGTTCTTGTTATTGTTCTTGTTGCTATTCTTGTTGTTCTTTTTATTCTTGTAGTTATTGTTGTTGTTGTTGTTCTTGATGTTTTTGTTATTGTTCTTGTTGTTGTTTTATTAAAAATATTTAATATTATATATTGTGATAAAAGTTATCAACGTAGTCAGGCAAAACATGTGGCAAATATGAAAAATGTTGACCGACCTTTTACCATGGTTGTTTATTACAACCGAGGTTATATGTAGTATGATTTTCAATTTATTACCATGACCAATAGACTGTGATTGTAAATAGCCTATTTACAATCATACACTACCTTACCACGATTTCTCAACCGTAATTATAGGACTTTTACAACTGTGATTATAGGTGTTTTCCATAATAGTTATAATATACTTGGTGGTACATAAGATACTAAAAAAGATGATGAAGCACCACTTGGACCAAACTTTAAGTATATATTATCACATCCAAAATATCAAATCATTAGAAACAAATATGATCATTTAAGGACTATAACATCATTTAAAAATAAATACTCCTTTCACTACTACAAAATAGACCTTTCCTAACACAATATTGTTAGACGACAACGCCTTATCTAGAGGGAGGTGAATCGATCACCAAGCCAAATAAATTCATATAAAATTCTAGTTTTAAAAATTGATTAGAAAAGAGTTCACGCAGAAGGTTTTCAAAAATTGTAGTCTATACAAACCACGTTATTCGAAGTCGGATATGAAAATATAAGAATGATTATGGAATGAATACAATAATCTGGAATTTATAATCTTCAATCAAGTAATAACTTATTTAACGTTTGTAGCAAGTTACTATAAATACTATTTCTAATGATAACTAGCAAAAGAACAAACTAAACAATTTGTAGAACACTTGGTGTGCAACAAAATTTTCAGAATTTTCCTTTGAGTTGAACAAACTAAATAATTTTTCGAACACTTGGCGTGCAACCAAATTTTTAAAATTTTCCTTTGAGTTATGTTGAAATGAAAAAACACTTAAAATCAAAAGTGATTATAAGCAAATCAACATACAATTCAAAACAAAATTATTCCTGGAAAATTCCTATGAGTCAATCAATTACTCAATGCTATTTGACAAATTGATGTATGAAAATTAAATCAAGTAAAGCAATAAAAGAAAAGAGACACAAGGATTTGTCTTCACAGTTCCCCACAATCATCCTCGCGTGTGGGTACGTCTGTGCCTAATTCCAATGGAATTAGGACAATTCTTACTATGCAAAAAGTTGATACAAGAGAAGTGTTCCAAGAGAAACTCCACAAACCCTAACATTTGTTGTTGATTCAACCCCTTCTCTTACTTTGATCTTGAGAAAGACCAAGACACAATAAATCCCAATTGACTTGTCTATGAGTACAACTTCGTCATTAGATGTTTCGCATGATGTTAAAACTGGGAAAATCTAGCATTTATGTATATTGGAGGATATCTCTATGTCTTATGGAATTCCTTTGCATTAGGGGTCTTAGGATCCATTAAAAACTATTTTGAAATTGATCCAAGTCATGAAAAACAAATTTCTGCTTAAATTTTCATTGCATGCGTCGACACATACGATTTTCAGGTCGACACATCCAACTCAATTTTGAAGCATGTAGCTTCTGGAAGGTCCAGGTTGACACATGCATTATACAGGTCGACACATACTGAAGCATTGCTAAAATTGCATAAATTCTTATTTTATGTGTCGACGCATACGAATTTTATGTCAACACATTTACTATTATTTTAAAGCCTGTAGCCTCTGACTTGGTTCGGTCTACACATGTAGTCCTTCAGGTCGACACATACATCTTAAACTTAATGTATGCGTCGAAAAATATGATGTTTAGATCGACACATACTGATTGTTTTGGTTAATTTTTCAAATCTTTTTAATTCTGAAAATCTCCTTTTTGCGTTAAACTTCCAAAACTATAAATACATTATTCATGCATTATTCCAACTTGATGATACCATAAAAATATCCTACATTTACCCTTCATCTTCAACCTCCAACCTATGCATACACACTAACAAACCATTATAAAGATTCTTTGTCCGGGTTCCATCTAGACGAGGTTTGGTAATGTTCGATTAGGTTCTTGTGTAGTTGAGAATATTGTGTTGAGATTTATAGGGGTTTTCATTCGGAAAAACCGAAGGTTTATCCTCCAAGATCGTTGATTGACTTTGGGGTTTTCGTGAAAGAATTCAAAAGAGGATTGCGTCCAAGTGAAGACCTTTGGAGATAAAAACACAAAGGATCCTTTGGAGTTAAAGAACACAAAGGAAGTAGCGAGAAAAAGAAAGATCAAAATTGAAGTCTTGTGTTATAATAAGTAAAATTGATGATGCGTGAAAGCTTTGGATATAAAGTACACAAAGGAGTAACAAGGTCCAGATAGTCAATTTTCAACTATTTTGTTTTGGTCTTTCTCAAGATCAAAGGAAGAGAATGGGTGGAATCAACAACAAGCATTAGGGTTGGTGGAGTTTCTCTTAAACACTTATCTTTTATCAACTTTTTGCATAGTAAGAATTATCCTAATTCCATTAGAATTACGCGCAGA